CCTCTGTCACTTTCTGAGCCTGTTCATGGAGTGTCTTAATCTTCGTGATTCACTGGATATGAGTAAGGCAGCAAAGTGCTACATAAATTCAGTTACAGTTACTATCTCTTCGCATCCATACGTTGAAAATTTCAGCTCCTAGTTCGTCGAAGGTGTGCACACGCAGACGCACACCCGGCATTCCTTTTATTGAAAGCGGCCTTAGGTTGCACTTACAATATTTGTATAGATAAACTTAGTGATAATTGCCCCCAGTTGACAAGCCTAGGGGCTTCTCATTCTACCACCAGAACTCCTCAGTTGGAATAAAGTTCAATTTGGCACTAAGCTTAAAAGCCAAAGGAATAAAAGCAAGTTTGAGGTCCCATAACATTTTATTTTCTTTTATGTAGTGATTCTTTCTGATAAGATGGGAAATGGGTGACAAAAATCACACTATATATTAAGCACATCTGATTTAGTCCCAAGCACAGAGAAAAGATCAACTAAAACATACTCTTTCTGTCTCCAGTGGGTAAAAATGAGCAAAGATGGGAAACTATTTTAATAGGGATTTTGGTTCCAAGTATTCTTCTGATACTCTTCATATGTAAACCCCATATGTAAACATTTGGATATGTTCTGTTCATACAAAATCTACTGAAAGTAGAGATATTTTATGGGGAAAAAAGTCTATCCTCTTAACTGAACAACTATTTCATCATAGCTCTGTATAAAACCTATCGGAAGCAGCACCAGGCTTTATCTCGTGTCAATGCTAATCAAACTGCAACCCAATCAAGGATGTAGTACTAGCCATTAGCTGGATTGTCATAGGTAAAGAAGCTGTATAAAAACATCCTATGCTCACATGCATAGTCTTCCCTAGATATTGTGGCTGCCTAATCCCCATTGTATCAGTCCCAAATACCAATGCTGAGTTGAAAGAGTACTCTACTTGGAGTTGATCAACAGCCAGTGGGCAATATGTTAGCTTATTTGGACACTTTTGGCTTTGGAAGAGTGTTGCTGATCTGCCACTTCAAAGCAAGGCCCATGTGTTAAGGGATTAATCTTAATGCTATTTTATATGTAGGTGCTAGAAACTTTGAGAGTTGACACTAGTTGCAGTGTCCTCTGGTGTTCTTCCTCTACTCTTAATTTCGTAATAACAAATTCTGGCCATGGTGAGCTGCTCTCCACGGTAGGCCTAAAATCAATGGCATCTACCTGGTCATGGACTTGGATGTTCAAAATAATAGCCCAAAGCAATGTTTTTTTTAATCATCTTTTTCAGCTTATTCTCTCAGTTGTTTTGATACAATAACAAAGGAATGACTAACAAAAGGTGACAGGTTTATTTTTAACTAGGAATAATACGTATTCTGCCAGCAGATTCATTTGCTTTTTCTGTACATAAAACTTTATTTTAGAGAATATCAAACCCTTAGAGATAGATTTTTAAAAATAAAATCATACTTAATTTACATCAATAAAAAGGCATTCTTAAAAAAAGGTATGACAAAGCTTTGTGATCCCTGTCTACTTGTATTATTGCCTAAAGTTGGTTTGATTAAGATTGAAAATAGAAGTTAAAACACAATTGAGTTACAAGTTGTGTATGCAAAGACAGGTACCATCTTTCAGGATCTGATATGTACTATAAGTCCATAACCTTTACAGGAAGAACAAATTCCAATAGGTAGGGTGGTGCTGTGATCTGAACGTTTGTATCCATCTGAAATCTATATGGTGAAACATAATCACAGGTGCTTTAAGAAAATGATGAAGTAGACCTCAAAAAGCTGCATTTTCATGTTTCATGTAAATATGGTAAAAATTTGCTACATAAAACCCAAGAAATATGTTCCCACATGATACTGCACACCTACCCTTTGAACATTTCAGGCTTCAGAACTATGAGAAATATTTTTTTGTTGTTACTTATAAGCCACATTGTTCATGATATTTTGTTATGGCAGGCTGAATGGAGTTAAAAATTTGATATATGCCCTCATATCAAGGCTGGACGGGACAATCCAGTAGTAAAAAACGGGTCCCAAAAGCAGACAATACTGTCAGAGACAACCCTCACTCTCTCACTGTTAGGAGTCTCACAAAACACCAGGCTAACCAACCATAACATATAATGCAGAAGACCTAGCTCAGACCAACACAGGCCCTTGTTTGTTCAATCCCAGTGAGCCCCTAGGAGCCCTGCTTAGCTGACTCTGTGGGACATATTCTCACGGTGTCCTCGATCCCTCTGGCCCCTACAATCCTTCTTCCCCCTTTTCCACAGATTCTGCCTCATGTTTGGCTGTGGGTCTCTGCATTCTTGTTATGCCATGTTTGGTTGATATTCCTGAGAGGTCTGCTCTTTGCTTAAAGGGAATGGAAGAGGAGTAGATCAGGAGGAGAAGGGAGGTAAGAGTGGTGACTCGGAGACGTGGAAGAAGGAGAAGCTAAGGTCAGGATGTAAACTATAATAGAAGAAAAATAAGTAAATAAACTAAATGGAAAAGAGAGAGAGATGAAATATAAAAATAAGCTAATCTATTTTTTAAAATTCTATATACAGAGAAGTAGGTGTTGTTGTTAAATAGAAACCTACAGAGTAAGTATAACTATAAACCTGGTTAAATAAGCAAGGCCAGGAGGATTGCTTTTGCATCTTAGATCAAGCCTACAATGAAGGCATTTTAAATATTAGTACTGATACTTTCCTAATCAAAATCTCAGTAGAGGAAGAACAAGTAGAGCGGGTGCCCACACCTCCAGCATTTCAAGGCTGAACAATGAATTCTTTACAGCACTCCAATAGACGTGATGTTACTCAATTTGAGTGCCCCACCTGCCACAGAAGTGTCGCAGAAACTTAGGACACCTACAAAATGGGATAGAGTCACAGTACTGGGGTTTCCTTACATTCAGGGTCCAAATATTGTCCCACGGTTTCTGATAGAAGAACCATTGAATAATAAAATACTGTTCTCAGGGTTTATGATTTTATATTATGTATTATGTTTTAGATATTCCTAAAACTTAATATTATTTTTCTTTTTTATTATCAGGTATTACAATTTATTTAGTTCATATCCCAACTGTGGCCCCCTTCCTCATCTCCTTGCAATCCCACCCTTCCTCCCTCTTCTCCCCCTATGACTCTCCCCTAGTCCACTGATAGGGGAAGACCCCCTCCCCTTCCCTCTGACCCTAGCCTATGAGGTCTCATCAGGACTGGTTGCATTGTCTTCCTCTGTGGCCTGGCAAGGCTGTTCCCCATCAGGGGGAGGTGATCAGAGAGCCTGCCACTGAGTTCATGCCAGAGAACTGCTCCCCTAATTAGGGACCTCATTTGGAACCGAGTCTATGGGCTACATCTGAGTTGGGTTTTATGTCCTCTCCATGCATTGTCCTCGGTTGGGGTATCAGTCTCTGCAGGGTCCCTAGAGCTCGGGCTTTTTTTGGGAGGAGGCGCTTCATTGGTCTCCTTTAGGTGCTCCTGTCCCCTCCAGGTCTTTCTGCCTCCCCCTTCTTTCATAAGATTCTCCACACTCTTCCCAAAAATTTGGCTATGAGTCTCACCTTTGCTTTGATACCTTGATCAGTAGAGTCTTTCAGAGGTTGTCTGTGGTAGGCTCCTGTCCTGTTCCTTGTCTTCTCCTCCTTCCAGTATCTATTGCATTTGTCCTTCTGAATGAGGATCGAGTATCTTCCCTAGGTTCTTCCTTGTTTAGCTTCTTTAGGAATATAGATTTTAGTATGTTTATCCTATATTATATGGCTAATATCCACTTATGAGTATTATTTTTTTAAAGACAAATTTAAACAGGATCACTGATGGAGAGCATTTATCTACCATTATTAGAGAATTATAACTCAAATCTCACTAGCATATAATTCAAACAGTTAGATGGCCTGTTAGATTCCGGCTAAAAGTTGATACACAAACGTTTGTGGCAACTGCATGGGATGAATGTTTTTACATGTAAATGTATTTTTTGAGAAACTATAGGATAGAATGCTATAATTCAACTTTGTGTATCTCCTTTTTCCCAACAAATTCAGTTTTCAAATTAATCACCAATGTTATAATATAGAGGTAGAATTTGGGGAAGTAACTTCCCTTGTTATAGTATTAGAGTACATAATAAGAGGATAGCATCTATAAAACAGGAAGTGATTCACTCTGTATCACTGAATCTACTGTCACTTTGATCTTGGTTTCTTTATTCTCCAGAATTATGACATCGAGGACCGGTTCATCTCCAGTTCCTACAATGACGGGGGCTGCTCTCCCAAGTACTGAAGTTGGCTAGGGATAGGGTCAACTCTCTTGCTTTCATGCCCCCAGGCAGAGCTCTTTCAAGATGCCCAGGTGAGGAGTGGGTATTTTTCTGCACACTGCTCAGACTTCAACATGCCCCAGGGTGACCACCCAAACAAGGGACATCTTCCTGGCCTTTTTTGGTAACAAACCCCTGCGGCTGCAGAGCCATGGACCTAAACATGGCCTCATTGGCAGCACAGGCCAGGACCCCACCATGGTCTCAGGTGCCATCTGGCTACTCACAGGAGGCTGTTCCTCACTACCCTTGAATCTGCAGTTCTGCCTCTTCATTGTGACCTCATTCTTCTGTCTCTTTTTCTCTTCCATTACTCCACGACTTACTTGCTCCTCCTGCTGGTGTTTGGGATCTCTTCATCTCTAGGGTTGTCTCAGGAGTGGTCTCAGGAATGCTATGCTGCAGTCATGTGTTATGATGGTGGGCAGGGCAGGGCTCATCTTAGGCCAGCTCCTTGTCCAGGACCCATGCTAGTCTGGTGGTCCTCTTGGGTTTTATCTCACACCTAACATCCCCCAATAGCCCCATTCGAGGGTACTCTTTCTTGGGCTCACTCCCTAGGGCCCTCAGTCCCAGTTTCTTCTATTTTCCAACTTGCTACTTGTCCTACAAGCAGTAAGAGGCTTCATGGCACTGCACTGGGGTTGTCTCAAGCTGACTTTTTTTTCAGGAAATATTAGGCTACTAATTTTTCAGATGTACTTGTATCCAAATACTGAGCATAGACATAGCCTTTCTTCTCTCTGTCACCTCCTGACACACAGGTGACACAACAGCTATACCTGCAAAGCTTCTAGAAGCAGCAGAAAACACAGAAAATACCGTTCCTCTTCTAATCCTTCTACCTCTTTTCCCACAATGAACCTTTTGTTTTTGGTGCAGGTTTTTTCTTACAGGTGTTCCTTCAAGCCTGAATTGAAGCAATGTTTGGTGACCATGAGAAGCCCAAGAAAGCATCTGTTCCATGCTTTTCTTCTAACTTCTGGCGATTGCTGACAAACAACTCTTGGCTCCTTGTAGATCATAGATGCACCACCCCATCTGTCTCTCCATTTGCTCCTGGCATTTTCCTTTATGTGCTCCTAGGTTACAATTTCTCTGCTGTTGTGAAGACAATGGTATTTGGATGAGGATCAACTGTAACCCAAAACGACCTCATACAACTGGATTGATTATACCACAACAGTTTCTATGTTCATAGGGTCATATGCAGTCTCTCCAGGTAGTCACAAATGTGTGAAATAAACATTTAGTCCACTAATACATGAAAGAAAACACATAAAGAAAGTGTATGATAATTTTAATCAATGTGTAAAATACTTGACAATTCAGCATCTAATAATGATGAGACTAGAAGGAACAAAATTGTTATTTGCAGGAAGATAGCTAGAAGTGTCCCTCATCATGCCATCTTAAATAAGCCAGAATCACCAGGCACAGCGGGGCATGCCTATAATCCCAGCACTCTGGGAGAAGAGGCAGGCAGATCTCTGTGAGTTTGAGGCCAGTCTGATCTATAAAGTGAGTCCAGGAGAGCTAAGGTTACACAGAGAAAGAAACCCTGTCTGAAAAAAACAAACAAACAAACAAACAACAACAACAAAAAGCCAGAACCAGAGAAGATCAACACTGATTTTAAAGACTTAGAAATAGACTGTAGTCTAGCCGGAAAAAAGAAGATACCCAAGGGAAAGAGGAGGGAAAATAAGAAAAGGTATGAGAATGTTGCTATCAACATACAGTAAGTATATCTATGAAAAATATCAACATTATTTTGTACAGTCATTGTGTTAATATGTGTTAATATAATGTGTTGATATAAGTCAATATGTTAATGTCAAAATGCTTCTCATCTAAGAACAGAAAGAAATTTCTTTTTTTGTGATGATGGCACTGAGAAGTAAACCTCATAACTATCATTGTATTTAATGGTGAAATACTGACTACTATTTTCTAAAATAGGGAATTAGAAAAAATACCTTTAACATGATTTCAACATTATAATGAAAGGGATGCAGTAAAAAAAAAAAACACATCATTCGTACATGACACTTTTGTTTCTGTTGAAAAGTTATAAGAAATGTGTAAAATACTGCTACACTAAACAGTAACATAACAAATTTATATGATATAAATTCAAATTTTCATTTTTATTTTTAATGCTACCAAAAATTTTAAAAAATAAATTTAAATCAGCCATTTTAAAGAAACTATATATTTAGAATGATTAAATAAAGGATATAGAATAAATTTGCATTCAGTTAAAAACTCATATATTAAATATATCTATGCAATATGTATAGATATCTCCAGCAAGACATAACACACTTACATTCAAATAAATTGTGTTTATTAAGAGAGAATTACTAAGCTGACAATTCCCTTCTAAATGACATTATGATCAAACACAGCCATAATTATTGTCAGAAAGACTTTAGAAAGAAGGGGAGTTAGTCTGATGAGGAAAGGATAGGAGCTCCACAAGGACCAAAGATATCTGGGCACAGGGTCTTTTCTGAGACTGACATGCAACCAAGGACCATGTATGAATGTAACCTAGAACCTCTGCTCAGATGTAGCCTGTGGTAGCTCAGTAACCAATTGGTTTCCCATTGTGAGGGGAACAAGGACTATTTCTAACAGGAACTCAATGACTGGCTCTTTGGCCTCCCCACCCCCCAAGGGAGGAGCAGTCCTGTTAGGCCACAGAGGAGAGCTTTGCAGCCAGTCCTGAAGATACCTGATAAAACAGGATCAGATGAATGGGGAGGAGGGGAGGTCCCCCTTATCAGTGGACTTGGCAAGGGGCACGGTGGAGAGGAGGGAGGGAGGGAGGGACTGGGAGGGAATGAGGGATCGGGACACGGCTGGGATACAGAGTTAATAAAATGTAAGTGATAAGAAAAAAAAATAAAATACAAAAAAAAAAAAGACTTTTTAGCAAAGGAAAATGCATACTAGTCAGCATACATATCCTGTACCTGTTCTCTAAAGGACCAAACCGTAGCATAACTAAGCATAGAGAGAGAAAAGAGAGAGGATTAATTCTAGGAATGAATGCCGAAATGTTACACAGTACACTGCCTGTCAGACTGCTAGCTGGCAAAACCTGTAGGGAAAACCAGTCAGAGCCTCACAGTGAACCAGGAGAGCACAGTGTGCTCTCTCAGACTGAATTCTTTCTCCTGGGAAGATGCTCTGGTGAAAGCCCTGGCGTACTGAAGGCTCAGGTCGTGAAGAAATCACCACGTAAGCGTCAGGATATAAGCACATTTACCTTCCTCTACCCTCAGCGTCTCCCTAGTCTAGGCTATCAAAGTGAGTACAACGCTTGTCTCAATTGTGATATGGAACAGACTAGAAAATTGCAAAAAGAAATTACCTGGAGCTAGAAGATGCTGGTTACATTTATATATGCTTGTCAAATCTCTGAATTGTTCAACACAATTCTGTGTGTCTTCTATACGTACCATCATTTCTAAATTAAGTGAAACAAATATAAATATTCTGCATCTGAGAAATTAATTATAACAACTAAAAAATTTCAGATTATTACCAAAGAGCACACTAAGTCATCTGAGAACATTAAAATAGAAAGAATACATACACTTTAAGGCTATTCTAATGAATCTAATACGAAATGCTGAACCAATTCAAGTGGCTTCAACTTTCCAGCAAATTTAACGTGAACATTGCACCAATGAAGTCAATAGAAATAGGCTAAGCAGAGGACACTGATGACTCATATGGTAGGGAACTTCATGAAGGCTGCAAACTCAAGGAGTGATTAACGTAAGTCCTTGCACAAAAGAATATTTAAAGTCCTTATTCACACTTGAAAAATAATGCAGGGAGGTCATCTCAAATTTGACATAACCCTTAAGTATTACTTAAGTATTACTGTTGCTATCTCAAGATTGAAGAACTCTCTCAGATCCACCTTGCTAAAGGAAAACTTTAATTACTATATTCTGTTTAGAAGATGATATACAAAAATTACTCATCATATAAAAAGCAATCAAAGAATATGCTTCAAAATGCTTGAAAATTATTATAGATGCATGTCAGGCCTTTAATTAAAGAATGTATTAGGTAATTATTCTTGGTGCTGTCATGATTGTTGTGTATCTTAGCATTTCACAATCTGTAACGTTATGGTTTCTCAGATTAAATAAGTGTGTTCATTTTCCTACTGAATTTTAAAATAACTTCAATTTCTAAATCCTTTTTTCTTAATGAAGGCACATAAAACTACACAAATCAGCCTTCCTGAGACCCAGAGCTAACCCTGCTATAATGCTGCCCAAGGTCAGCCTTAGAATCTGAAAGAACTCATCTTGTGTACCTGAGGTATTGCTCCTGGGTTGTTCTTGTGATCTTCCCACCTCCCACCTCGTACCCTCTTGCTCCTAAATCCTCCCCTTCCTGTTTATTCCAATGCATGTCTTTTCAACTGGTTTAATGGATACATTCCACTGTAAACCTTTGAACCCAAAGTTCAGGAATGACATTATAGTTTCTTTATTTCTCACTTGCTAGTCACCCTACAGAAACTCCATCTGAATTATAATTTGTTACACCTTGTCAGTTAAGTCTCACACCATTCATACTAGTTCTCCTCTCTTTTCAAAACGTTACTTTTGTCCACTAAAGTGGACAAAAGCCACTTTAGTGTGAAAACACTGTGAGGGGAAATGCATGTTATGCATCTCACCAACCACACGACATATCTGAGCCTAGCCTATGTTAAGTGTGCTTAGGAAACATCAGCCTGCACTTGGCTGTCATATTAGCTTATACCTGAACAAAAGCATTTAAGACTACGCCTATTTTATGATAAAGACTGAGATATTTTATGTAATTTATTGAATATCTGTATCCTAAAGTAGTGGCAGTATGATATTGCACAGCGTAGGCAGTGTGTAACCTCATGATGGGCAGCTGACTGGGAGCAGTTTCTCATGATCCCAAAACTCTGTGGGCATCATGCTTAATGATTTTTATCCTGAAAAAAAAAAACACCAAAACACCCAAAGTTTTTTGTTGTTCAGTTTCTAATGAACAAATGTTGCTTTCGTAGCTTTGTAAGGACTAAATTGCTAAGCCCCTTACATGCCAGAGAATATATGCACAGTGTCACCAATCCTCTGTGTATAGAAATTCTGTTCATAGCAGAAGTGATAATCCATATGAGCAGCTACTCAATTATTAATAATCGTTGTGGCTCAATATGTATTGCAATAAAAATAATGGCAATAGTAATTTAAAATACTGAGCTACAAATATATAAGGGAACAAGAATGGAGATTTATTCACATTTTCCTTTTATTCCTTCTGCACTTTATAAATTGTGCAATGCACAACAAAAGGCTTTAAAAGCTCTTAGGGCCTCTACCAGTGAGTGAATGGAAGCATTCTTTGGGGTGCCTTGGTCTTTGGAAGAGAAGCTTAAAAAATAAATAATTGGATATTGTACAGGCATCTAAGTTGATATTTACATATAATGACAAAAACCATTTAAGATATAAAGAGTTTAAAAAAATTGGTTTCAGAATAGTTTACACAGTATGGTGCCAATATTAATTTTTAGACATTCTGTGTATATATGCAGAAATCTAAAAGAAAATGGAAAGAAATGTCAATAGTAAAAGGGTTTTGTGGGTAGTAGGACTGCTGAGTTTCTTTACATTATTCATCCCTGCCATGCTTCTACAATTAAGACATTTCGGTTTATATCAAAAATATTCTTAACACTTTGAAGGTTCAATGCTATAGAACTATAAGTGAAAAACATGAAATTATGC